CATCGAGAAGTCATCATATATATGTATATATATGTATACGTGTATACATTTGTGTATATATCGAACGAATACGACGGTGTCAGCGAGTAAACGAGCGCGACGAATGAATGTTAGAATAAAACGCGCGCGTTTTGTGGGAACGAACGAGGGCTCGATCGCGGTTCGACTTGTCGTACGTACGAACTAATAAGCGCGAACGTGCGTGTCGTTATACGAGTATACTCCTAGAATGTTCCTATTATTTTTCTGCGCATGTAATCGTCCGTCGGCGCGTCCCATCGTTCTCGCTGCCGCCTTGTCTCGCTCATTACGAATTGCCGCCCGCGAATCAGTCGGGATCGGCGATATAATTGCGATAGCGGTAATCTCACTTCGCTCGAATTTTACGAGCTGCGTCATTTGAAACCGATCAATGTAGAAGTTTTGTAAGACGACGATTCGTCCTTTCGATCGAGGAGTGCGTAAGTCTCTAAGTGAGTCTCTTTTCTCGATTTCGTCTCGACTCGGGCTTTTTGAGTTGACGCTGCAGATTTTTCTCTCCTGTCAGAAATATCGGCTAGACTTTCCTTCTCTCACGCGCGCGTTTCGCGTTACGTAATAAGAGCGTTCACGCTGCGCCAACACTGCTGACGTGCGGTTATCGCGAAAAGGAAATTAATCTGAATTGTCGAGCCAGCTGCGCGAGGAATTTAATATATAAGTCTGGCCTGTGTGTGTGTGTGTGTTAGTGTGTGTGTATGATATGTATATCCGCGCGCAATAAGTAAGTAAGTAAGTAAGTATGTCGTGGACCACTTATCGTTCGTGATATCGTCTACTCTTCGCTACGTATCTCCGTTCAAGTTCTACTGCAGCTTCTCAAGTATCATGAGAATTATTGACAAAACTCCCGCTACAACTCAGCAGCAGCGTCGAAGTTAACGACACGAAAGTTATCGGCACACGAACAAACGCGATGAGAGATAAGCGGCTTGATAAACTACCGGCAAATATCGTCTAAATTTTTTCAGATCTGGAATCGTAATATCGGAATATCAGAATACACCATTCGAATCTGCAGCGTCGCGCTGAAGAAAAAAAAAACAACCGACATCTAACTCCAAATTCCGATCAATAGTGCGATTCTGTAACTCCTTATTGCAGTTAACGACAGTCTCGTTATCGTTGCGCAGCTTTTCTACAGTATGAAAAAGCTGCGCAATGATAACGAAACTACCATTAATGAGTTACAGAATCGCACTACTGGGTATCTCACTTGAAACAAGTTCCAAGCAACGACTGTCAGTACGAGTCTGAATCTCAAGCTTCGCAATGACAAAGTCGAAATCCAAATTATCTCGCGAAAAGGAAATTAATCTGAATTGTCGAAACTAGCTGCGCGAGGAATTTAATATATAAGTCTGTGCCTGTGTGTGTGTGTACATATATATGTATATATGTGTATGTGTATATACACATATATATGTATATATGTGTATATATGTGTGTGTGTATATATATATATGTATCAGTACGAGCCTGAATCTCAAGCTTCTCAATGACAAAGTCGAAATCCAAATTATCTACTAAACACCGTCGTGACACTTTGCAACTTACAGATCGCGCGAAGGTAGCAATAATAACGAACAGTCAAATGTAAAAAACGATGAACGCACTCCTCAAGATCGGCTTTTCAAAGTTCTTCGTTCAATGTTCTTCCCGTGTGACGATAGACACGCGTTGATATCCCCGAACGTGTCGAAGCGGAAGCGTCGAGGATCGCGCGGACGGGCAAACATTCGATCTTCATCGTGACGATGAGATCAGGTGCGATTGTCAGAGCTGCTGCTATATACGCCTGTCACGAGCGCGTTCGAGTAGAAAGTTTCGGTTCGGAAGGAGCGCTTGTTTGTTTTTTTATTTTTTTTTTAATCCTGCGAATACACTGTCCTACACGCTGAAGGATGCTGAGAAAATCTTGTCGCTACACACAGGCAGGACCGACGTAATCCCAATGAAATTGACTGCAGTACTAATACACCGATTGCGCGCTCGCGCGCACATTGTTACGAGCTACTATTGCGAGAGCCTGGTCCTTTCGGAGCTTTACGTTACGTCATGTTACCCCGGCGACACCTTCGTGCCACTCTTCGTCGGGGATCCCGAATACTTTCAATTGTACAATCGTGTGTCTCGCGCGATCACCAATATCAGTCGAAGGGCTCATTTTCAATCTTTGTCTTAAATCTATTATTTCAAGAGAAGAAAAGAAACGATGTGAGCTTGTGAGCTTATCGCGAGCTTCCCGCCGTCACTCTCGGCTTGTTCTTCATTGTGAATCCGGGACGGACCTCGGGGAAATAAGCCTCTCAATCTCGCGGCGAGATGGATGCTTCTTATTGAAACGAACGACTCTTTCGTGGATCAGAACCAAAGCACGTTTTAACGAACGACAATATGCGAGCGACGTCGCATTGTGTGCCGTCTGGTGATCGATAACGCGTGGACCGGCACGCGCAGAGAAGCGCGGAACAAACCAGCAAAACCGGGGACAAATTTTTCTCAAGAACGACATAATTCGCAGATTA